TGAAATGTGCAAGTCACTTCTCACACAGACCTCTTTTCACTTATGTGAAAATAACATTGAGAAACACGCCTACAAACACAGCTTGTGGCACAAAGAGCCCATAATAGAGCTTTCAATGAAATGAAGATTTGCTCGGCTTTCCAGTCATTTGGTCTGTTTGTTGTAAGTGTTTGGTACAGCACTGTCTAGCAGCCTGATTCAGTGGATACCTAAATGTACTTTCCCCCTCATCATCTGCCTATTTTCTGTAAAATATTCTTATAATTAGAAGATTTCTTCCAGATACCACTTAATGATCATCTGAAGGTCTGATTCAAAACCCACGTAAGTCCGTTGATGTCTGTGACTTCATTGCATTTTGAATCTGTCCGGGTGTATTCAGGAAAGAGAAGTCGATGACTAGAATAGCAGCAGGAGATGCTCTCCACAGATGACCAACTCTCGTGGTTCTCCAGGGGCTTCCACACTGGTCTACTGAAGAAGTTTTACCTAAATATAGTGGAAGATCACTTGTAGTGAAAATTCAACTACAGTCAGAGCTGCAGAGGAATATGTTTCAGTGTTTAATCATTTAAAATTTGTTTTTCTCCACCTTTCTTCTGTTCATGCTCCCATTGAAACTAAAGGTATAGCACAGCACTGCTTAGGTTTTCTAAGGGCTTAAGAGTATTTGGAGTAAGGATATCCCCACAGCTGTGAGACCCCCTCAGGGCCCATTGGGTTTATAGTTATTTCTTGCGTAAAACCATTTCTGTTTTAAAGCTGTTCTCTTCTAATTTCAGGAGTACCTATTTAGTTGTTTTGGAAAAAAAAAAAAAGTTGCCATGCTTGTTATTATGGGAAAAAAAAGCATTTATTTTTCATCATTTTAATCTTTAAGTCAGACAAGCATCACAGAAGCAAAAGTACTGAAGAAGTAAAACCTCAAGTATATTTTTGCTACACCAAAAGGAAATCTTTCCAGAAAGCTTCAGTTAGTTTCTTGCTGGATAAATGTTTGGTTTAGCCATTTCACCTCCGCAGAGTGGGGTAAGCAGCGGCACAGTGACATGCCGAGTTTCTGTGCACTCTGTGCTTTCACCCAGATGCAAACTATTCCACACAGACAGATGCTGGAGAAACTGGGTCTTGCAGCGCAAGGTTTCAGGCTGAATTCTAGCCCGGAGACTTTGATAAGCATCCAAATCCCTGCGTCCTTTGAAGTTCATCCCAACTCTGAATAATTCTGAGCTGTGCGAAGGTTTGTGTCCAGACTGAGTTTCCAGGAGCTGAGGTACAGACATGGCTTCTGCCCATTATTTCAACACATCCTTCTGAGCAAGGTGATTCGGTTTAGAGCACTTTTGTGGATAAACTGCAGCCTGATACTCTACAACAGCTACCCCCTCATATGTGTCTGTATCTGAAGCAGGGAGGAGGGAGTGCAGCCCTCGATGTCAGTGACAACCATGCAGATGAGATGGACGTAAACCAGAGAAAACCATGAGTGCCTCTGGAGGAGGAGGAAGAAGAAAAGGGTGAAGGAGAGATGCAAGAGATGGAAGCAGAATTTTGCGTTATTCCTTTTAAGGTCACATTGCCCTCATGATGCTCTCTGTCATTAGCTGAATCACTGGAGCATCCTGTCAGCAAATCAGCCTCCTGCACAGATTTTAAAACCTCTAATTGGCACCTGCAAGGTACCCGGTTATCAGGGCGCCCCTGGTTGCCCTGCTTGGTTTTCGTGGCTTCCTCTCCCATGCAGCTCTAAGGCTTTTGGGTGCTGCATGGTTAGTGGCCTGCTGTGATAGGTGGCAACCCAGGCTATAGTTGGGATCCTCTCATATGACCCTGTATTTGTGTGACAGATAGAGCCCCTCCTTTCCCCCCCCCCCCCTTTTTTTTTTTAACTGCTATGCAAATGTTTTTCCACATTTCCTGTTCATCACTGTCTCTGAGCTTCCCCAGACAGGCTATTCTGAGCTTGGCCTGCTTTCTGGTAATTGCATCTGCATTAAAGCAAACACTGCTGCAGGGTTTCTCCATTCTGCCCTTGCCAGCTCCGAGCTGGACAGCACTACATGGTTTGCGAGGACAGGAATGTGCAAATAAAAAAGTGATGCCAGGAGCTGGCAGAGCCCTGGGGAGGAAGGCAGAGCTGTGAGCTATTTAAGGCCTCTCTTATTTCACCAGGGAGTCCAGCTGCCTCTCTGCTGTTAACGACACAGGTTACTACTAGACCCTCCTAAGCTGCACATCAGTAAAATCACAACTGCAGCACGCTCACTGTGTCCAAGCCAGGTCTGCCTCTAGCTTCCCTGTGGGGATGGAAAAGCAAACGGGATCTGGAGGGAGCCACCTGTGACTAGTGACCACAGTGGTAGCTTGAAGTGGACAGTGGGGCCAGTGCAGGCATTTTGGTGACTGCAGCGTGTCAGTGGAATGGGCAGGAGGCAGGACCGTGCCCTAAGGTTTCTCAAGATGGATTTATCAGGTTGCCCCTTAGAGATGTGGGAATCTCCAGTGCTTGAAATAACACAGCCATTAGCGTCTCGCTCCTTTGCCCAGGGCCCAAGTCCTGAGCTATATGAGCAATACAGTAATACTTTATAAAGCCCCTTTCACTGAAGGATTGCATGAAGTCTTACTCAGATGAATAGATTTGTTTTGCCCTTGGTCTACAGCAAGCAAAGGTGGCAAAAGAGGATCTTATGAGCTCTGCCAGGCCTTTCTGTAACCTCAGGCTTGCTGCTGGGGAAAGGAGCCTGCTGCCTGCGCTGGAGCGGTGGTAGATGAGTGTATTGATGCTGCCAGGCGCACCAGGCCTGACACCCTCTGCATATCTGAGGTTGAAATCATGGCTTTTGGAACTAGATTTCCCCATAGGCTTTAATTTTCAGGAAATTAAAAATATGTGCAGGGCCCTTAACACTCACACAGTTTAACCTCCTCCAAGTGGTGGTTGTAAATCACTGCCTTGTCTCGTGCTGCAGGACAGCAACCAAGCAGGGCCTCGGCTGGGTGCTGCCACCCATCACTCACTCGGCCTGGGCCCGTTGCTGCAGCAGCAGCCAGCAGGCGTTTCCAATGTGATGCTGCAGTTGCTTTAGTTCTTTCTGGGAGTGGTAAAGATGAAGAGAGATCTGGGGTGATAACCAGTGTGCTGAGAGATCCTCCTCCTCTTGCTGATGCCAGCAAACCAGAACTTTCTAATTTCCTGCTAAATATCTTACTAGCGTTCAAGGAAAGTTGTCTGCGTTCAGGTTTAGCAGAGGATCGTATCACAGGAAATTAGAGGATACCAGGAAAAGTATACCAGGGCAAGGTACTTGTGTGACTCCTGCAGAGGAGATCTGGGAAAGGGGCTGCATTTTGCCCATGTTTTGGGGGTAGGGTAGCAGCCACAGCACAATCAGTTGTTCAAAAGACTGGAAAAAACGATGCACTCTTCCCTTCTCTAGACCTCCTTCCTGCCTTTACGAATTCCTGGGAATTTGTTATACCTGGCTGTGCGTTGCTTAGACTGTGCCTTACTGCAGAGTTTATTTTGATTATCTACAGTCTCCACCTCGCTACATTCACTGCCCTCAAGTTAGCCTAGGTCAGATCAGAGTGGTCACCAGGTGCCTTTGAGCAGCAGGGAGCAAATCTGCCAGCAGCTGAGGAATGCCGCAAACTCCATGTCTAATGAATACCCTCCTCAGTAAATTCAAATTAAAAGCACTACTACTGTCTGATAAAAAATTGGGGATGAGAACAGGACTTGAGCTAATTGCAAGAGCTTAGTCCCAACTTGCTAGCTCAGCACTGAGGATTCAGCCCTGGTGAGGCCACATCTGGAGTACTGCGTCCAGTTCTGGGCTCCCCAGTACAAGAGGGATGTGGAGCTGCTGGAGAGAGTCCAGCGCAGGGCTACCAGGATGATCAGGGGCCTGGAACATCTACCATATGAACAAAGGCTGAGAGAGCTGGGTCTGTTCAGCCTGGAGAAGAGGAGGCTGAGGGGGGACCTGATCAGCGTGTATAAATACCTCAAGGGAGGCAGTGAGGAGGAGGGGGGCGGCCTCTTTTCAGTGGTGGGCAGCGACAGGACTAGAGGAAATGGCTTCAAACTGAAGCATCGGAAGTTCCACAGGAACTTAAGGAAGCATTTCTTCACTGTGAGGGTGACAAAGCACTGGAACAGGCTGCCCAGAGAGGTTGTGGAGTCTCCTTCTTTGGAGATCTTTAAGGCCCGCTTGGATGCAGCCCTGTGCCACGTGCTCTAGGTGACCCTGCGTGAGCAGGGGGGTTGGACTCGATGACCTCTGAGGTCCCTTCCAACCTTCGGCATTCTATGATTCTATGATTCTATGATTCTATGACTCGCTGTGAGAAGTAGCCACAGTCAGACAGGTTGCGAATTGAGAGAAAGCAGAGCCTTGTGCTTAAGTCTCTGAACACTGAGCCCCCCCAAATCTGGCTTAATTTCTTGGTGAGCCTTGTACTTCGGGTCACTTATATCTCTTTCCCTTTCTCTGTGTCTCAGTGCTGCGGCTCTAAAATAATGTTGTTCTCTTCCACATTTCAGCTGCCCTGCTTATGTTGCAAGTTCTTTAGGATGATGATTTTCTCTTATTAACTAAAGGTACAATCCCTAGTGCACTGTGGCCACAGTGGTGTTGGTGGGAGGTCATGTTTGGGCTTCTGCATTTTGAGAGTGTGTCACAGGCTCTGGGTTGTGAGGCAGAACCTGCCTTGAATGCTCAATAACTCCTGAAGCTCTTTCTCTTCGGTAGATTTGGGATTTTCCCTCCAACCTTGATGCTTTGCTCCTGTTCTGTCCTGAAGGGCAGGCAGTATTGAGTCTGAATAACCAAAATTTTTGTTAAATTTTATGAGTGCTAAATATTGTTCATTATTATAGCGTCAAAATCTCCTCCATATAAAGATGAGTGGGAAATTGATGAAGAGGAAGAAAGTGTATGGTGATTTCTGACATCCTAAGACCTTCTAATGTTCTCTCTTTTTGTTTCTTGCAGGTGGAGCGGGAAATAGCCATCCTGAAGTTGATAGAACATCCCCACGTTTTAAAGCTGCATGATGTTTACGAAAATAAAAAATATTTGTAGGTATTACTGGCTTTTGCCAGCACATGGGAATGGGAAGTGGAAGGAGGAAGGATGGGAGAGAGAGGAGGGTGTGCAACTTGGGAACATTCATGCAAGAAAGGAGCAGGGCATGCTCTACCCTCAGCTCTGGTGTCTGTGTGATATCTAATAGCTGGACGAGGGAGCGATGGTTCCTATTTACACAGGGATTTTTTTTCCTATTATTTTCCTCTTTTCTCCTCTGTATTTTGTTTATATGTCATTTCTTCAAGTTAATGTTTTCTAGCAGCAGCAAGGGAGGAACCTTTATACCTAGAGGGTCTAGAACCATTTTGAATCAAAACTGTAACAAACTGGTTAAGTGGATGTTTTGGATATCCTCACTTGCCTAATAGTTTCTATTGAAGCCCTAGATTCTCACTAACAATATTTAAAAGTTTACCGTTAATAACAACTTAGGCTATGCCGAAATCTTGCTCTTGTGAACTCGCTGTAGTAGCAGTTAACTAGCAAAGCTAGTCAGAGCAAAGCAAAGCCACAAACAGAGTGATTTTAGCTTGACAAGGCACTAGATATGTTCAATCTGTTGCCAAACAAACAGGCCACATTAATCTTGGCACAACAGGAAAAAAAAATCAATGTTCTCCAAGCGGAAAAGGGCAGCGCAGTAGGGAACTCAATGCTATTTTCAGCTTTTTAACAGGTTATTGCAAGTAGAAAAGAGTGTTTAAAAAATTAAACTGTTTCTAAAAGTCATCATCCATTGGTGACCTCCCCTTCCTTAATGCCACAGCACAAGGAAGGAATAACTTTTTACCAAAGCAAATGTGCTGAGTGGAGGTAGCAATCCTCATGGTCTATCTGAGCAGTCTTGTTACCAGAGTGCTGAATTCCTGTCCCATGAAGCGAGGCCCTTGTGTCTATGGGGGAGCTCACGAGGCAGGCAGTGATTTCTGTAGGGTTGCCCATCCGCTGTGAGGCTGGAGCGACCAGGCACTGCCTGGAGCCTGGCTTGGTGCTCCGCAGCCGAGGGCCTCGTCCCAGGCGGCATGAATGGGCCTGGCTCCGTACAGACCAGGTCACCCCAGCCGAGGGCAGGCACCCATCCTAAACACCCTAATGCAGCCAGCGCAGCATGCAGGAGAGCAGCAGCTAAGCCTCTCTCTTTGAATCCTGACCAAAAATAGGCACTGTTTGTGAGAGTAGACTCCACTTTATCACTTTATTCAGGCTTACGTGGTTCTAGGGCCAGACCCCAGACAGAGAGAAGGAATATTTTGCTTTGTGATCCTTCTTTATTTCTGTGTTGTATATTCATAGATATGTGCTTGCCTGTGCGCACACACACTGCATTGTACAGCTACTGTGCCTCAGTTAGGTTTAGAGTATTGGGTAAAGGAGACATGTACAAGCATGGGAAGGACAAAGGCCGTGGTCATCGCTGGGGTGAGGACATGAGATTATACCTATAATAATACGTAGATGTTCTTGCTCTGAGCATAAAGGAAGACAGTAGCTGAGCTGAGCTCTGTGTCTCTCCTGCCAAAAGGCTCAGGGTTTTTTTGCTGTGGGTGAAGGATGTCTAGTGTTTGGAGCAGCAGGGCTGGTCTTGCACATGGTCTTTCTTTTGGAAAGCTTCCTTCCTCCCCAGACGAAGCAGGTTGTCCAGTGGCAATCTGGGATAAGGCTAAGTTGGCTTGGGGAACACCATCAACGTAGCATTATTGCTGATTTGAATAAGCATGTGGATGCTTTTCATTGATGGAAAATGGGATACAGACAACCCAGGACCACTCCATGCTATTTCTTTCAGATAGCATGCTAGTAATATAACTAATATTATACAATAGTGTATATAGAGAGTGATACACACATACACACAACGTAAACATATAGATACATGCAGGTATACTTTTATAGGTATACTTTTAGGTGTAGTTTTAGACTATTATTTATATGGAGATATTTATGTCCGTATTTATATGTGTACTTTTTAAATTTTCATATTATTTTACACAAAAATCTGTTTTGAGCAGAAAGGCAGATCTCGCATCTTTATAGAGCTACCTCTTCTTCTCAGAAATGGGTCACACATTCAGCAGCTCTTTCTCCAAGCACAACGGATCACCTTCTGCCCCTCCAGCAGCACGAGGCCACTACTGGGCACGTGCCCAGGTCTCCTTGCAGTGTATGCAACACGCCACCCCTTGCTTTCAGAGGTGAAGGTGCTTCCCAGCGAGCCACATAACAAAATTAAAACGTCCTGCTGCCTGTGCACGGCTTCATTTCTGGCATGCACCAGATCAGCTGACAGCAGTGTGAAAGCCTTGCAGCTCTGCTGGTGCCTGCAGGGGCATTCGCACTGCCCAGGCCTCTCCTGCTGGGTTTCCCTCGAGCTTCATTTCCAACAAAAACGAATTGTGAGGTGTGAGAAAGGGAAAAGAGATTTCCCCTTGTTTTCTGTTACTGCTAGCCCAGGATTTTGACATTTGGTCCATCTGTGGAGAAGGGAGTCAGAGTCAGTGGGAGGGTTCATAGAGCTGAGGTCCCTCCGAAGGCTCCGCACAGGGAAGCGCTGACTCGACAGACGCGCTGCTTGGTAGGCTGGTCTGGAGCGCGTGCCAGAGGACCCCAGCCTGGCACTGAGCTCTTCCACGTAAAACCCACGAGCCTTTGCAGACACTTGAGCCACTCGCTCGCAGAACCGCACCAGGGAGCTGATGGGTGTTCATTGTCCCAGCTCTGGCCCTCCTGCGCTGGGTCCCCTTGGCTGGGTGTTCTCCCTAACGGGTGCCCAGGGAGGAGACCAAGGCAGAGCCTTGGCACACGCGACTACCCGCTGCGCCGGCAACGCTCCAAACGCCCTGCATCCCAGCACATCAAAGGCACAGGCAGAGCAGCAGCATAACCTCCCGTCGGCTTCTCTTTCTCCCCCAAATCCCCAACCTGTTCATGTCCAAACATAATTAGCAGTCAGATACAATCTCCTTTTAAACAAGGTGTTTGTAATTAAAATCGTCCTTTGGAAAGCAAAACGGAAAAACAAGCAAACAAAACAAAATCCAACGCATGCACATTTTCTTGCAGGAGAGGAGAAAATAAGAAAAATAAAGAGTTCCTGGCCTGCTGCCAAATTAGGGTTTAAAAATTCATGCCTGCCATAAGAATTTATATAGCTTCTGAATAATTTATAGGTTGTGCCAATAACAAGGGGTTTAATATCTGATAGAGATTATTTAATCAATACAAAACAGTGCAGTGAAAAGCCATCAAAGAATTGCAACATGTCGGTCTGGGTTGGGCAGTTTTTAACCATTTCCCTGCTGTGCATATGTCCTTACGTATATCTGTAGGTATCAAAGGACATTTTGCAAACTAAGTGGTAGCGTCACGGCTTTATTTTTTCTTCCTAGAGGCTTTTTTTTTTTTTTTTTTTTTTTTTTGGGCAGTTTGGCATTCTAGAGAGATCCCTTGCTGATTTGCCAGAGCTTTGAAATGTAATGAGTTTTCTAGCCCTTAGCTGAGTCGGTCAGAAGGAGCAGGGAGCTTCTCAGGCTGATCTGCTGGGAGTTTTGTGGAGGGAGCTGTTCCTGTGAGGTTGTTCTAGTGGCCGTACCCAGCACGTGACGTTGGTGATGCTGCTGTTGTGATTCGTGGATAAACACGCGGCCAGGCTCCTTGGAATAAATTGGGAGGTTTTTATTAGATGTGGACACTAATAAACGTAGGAACAGAAAACAGCTATAGATATATCTGTCTTTATAAGTGAAATTCCCGCTTGACTTGCATCCCTGGCCTCATTAATTGCTTAGACAGTTTTGTCTACTCAGAAGTGTCTCAATTCCTACTGTGTTCCCTGGTCTTAGTGCTGTTCTCATGATTTTCATACAAAGATCAGCTCTTAAGTGACAAGGTCGAATAGCTGAGCTTCTCAGCAGATGTAGTCCCTTTGTGAAGTTCCTCACCCGCGGGCCCTCTGCCATAAAACAGTGACCTCACAGAATCACAGAATATTCAAGGTTGGAAGGGACCTCTAGAGATCATCTAGTCCAACCTTCCTGCTCAAGCAAGCACACCTAGAACATGTGGCACAGGGCGCATCCAGGCGGGTTTTGAAGACCTCCAGAGGAGACTCCACAACCTCCCTGGGCAGCCGGTTCCACTGCTCTGTCACCCTAACAGTAAAGAAGTTGCTCCTCACCTGGAGACGAAACTTCCTGTGCTCCAGCTTATGGCCATTACCCCTCGTCCTATCGCTGGCCACCAGTGAGAACAGCTTGTCCCCTTCCTCCCTGCATTCTCCCTTCCTGAACTTATACACATTAATCAGATCCCCTCTCAGCCTTCTCTTCTCCAGAGAAAAGAGGCCCAGCTCACTCAGCCTCTCTTCGTATGAGAGATGTTCCATTCCCTTAATCATCTTGGTTGCTCTTCTCTGGACCCTCTCAAGAAGCTCCACGTCCCTCYTATACTGGGGTRCCCAGAACTGCACACAGTACTCCAGGTGCGGCCTCACCAGAGCTGAGTAGAGGGGCAGAATCACCTCCCTTGACCTGCTGGCAACACTCCTCCTGATGCAGGCCAGGATCCCATTGGCCTTCTTGGCCATGAGGGCGCACTGCTGACTCATGGTTAACTTAGTGTCAACCAGGATTCCCAGGTCCTTCTCTGCGGAGCTGCTTTCCAGCAGGTCGACCCCTAATCTGTACTGGTGCCTGGGGTTATTCCTCCCCAGGTGCAGGACCCTGCACTTGTCCTTATTGAACCTCATGAGGTTCCTCTCTGCCCAACTTACCAGCTTGTCCAGGTCCCTCTGGATGGCAGCACAGCCCTCCGGAGTGTCGGCCACTCCACCCAGCTTGGTGTCATCTGCAAACTTGCTCAGGGTGCACTCCGTGCCCTCGTCCAGGTCATTGTTGAACAAATTGAACAGCACCGGGCCAGTACTGACCCCTGGGGGACACCACTGGCCACAGGCCTCCAACTGGACTTGGCCCCATTTATCACCACCCTCTGA